GATTTTCGTAAAGTAAACGGAACAGTCAAAGACGTTTACCCATTACCGAATATCCAAGAAACTCTAGATAGGTTAGGTAAAAGCAAATACTTTTCGTCTATGGATTTACAAAGTGGTTATTGGCAAGTAGAAATAGAGGAAAAAGATAAAGATAAAACCACTTTCGTATTACCTTCAGGTAAATACCAGTTTAACAGAATGCCTTTTGGTTTATGCAATGCCCCTTCAACATTTCAAAGATTAATGGATGTTGTATTATCAGGCTTGCAAGATTCCGAATGTTTCTGTTACTTAGACGATGTTATAGTGTTCGCTGCAAGTTTTGAAGAACACTTAGAAAGGTTGAGACATGTATTCAATAGATTAAGAAAAGCAAACTTAAAACTTAAACCAAGTAAATGTCAGTTTTTGAAAAATGAAGTAGAATACTTGGGTCATATAGTGACCGCAGACGGTGTTAAACCCAACTCTAAAACGTTAGAAGTCTGTAGAAATTATCCAGTACCTAAATCCGTAAAAGATATTCGTGCATTTCTAGGATTTGTGAGATTCTATAGAAGATTTATACCACATTTTGCTTTATTAGCAAAACCCCTAACTGAATTAACTAAGAAAGAAACAAAATTCCAGTGGACAGATAAAAGACAGGAAGCATTTGAAAATCTGAGAGAAGCTTTACTAAAAGCACCGATATTAAGCTACCCTGACTTTAGTAAAGAATTTATACTAAGCACAGATGCTTCAGGTTTTGCAATAGGTGCAGTATTATCCCAGTTAGACGAAAATGGTAAAGAACACCCTATAGCTTATCAAAGTAGACAGTTAGGAAAAGCCGAAATAAACTAGTCAGTTACAGAACAAGAGTGCTTGGCTGTAGTACATGGAATTAAAACTTTTCGTTGCTATTTATATGGCCGAAAGTTTACCATTATTACAGATCATGCGCCTTTAAAATGGTTAATGACATTAAAAGACCCTTCTTCTAGACTAGCTAGATGGTCTTTATTATTACAAGATTATGATTTTGAGATAATACATTGACCAGGTAAAAAACATTCTAACGTAGACGCTCTGAGCAGAATTAGAGTAGAGAGTAACAAAACTATCGACAAACAAACGATCAATCAGATAAACGAAGTGCAATCTGAACGTGAACATGAATCAGAAGTAATTTGGGACATAGATCAGATAATTAGTGAACAAAAGAAAGATCCCGAAATAAATAACTTACATAGTAAAGTAACGCAAGGAAACGAAACAGAATACATGATAGATTCGGATATTCTATGTAGGAAAGTTAAGGACGGTAGGACTTTACAAATAGTAGTTCCAACTAG